GGCTCCTCTAGCTGAGGCACTGAACCAGTTAACAGCAGCTGTGAGCTGCTGGTGTTGCCCTTCCCAAGTGACCTGGCATAAAGGAGGGAGGGAGGTGTAAAGAGTTTAAGGAGCCCAATTTATGTGTCACATGATATCTCCTGAGGCTGCCACTTGGCCCCTAATGTGCCCACCTGCAGATGTCACAGTGTGAGTCCCCGTTCCATGCTCAGGGAACAGGGTCTGGTGGCTATAGATGCATCCTTTGCCCCTTCACCCTCAGCAAAACGGGTACAAGAGGGAAGGGAGAGATTCCAAGAGCCATGGTTAGAGGCTTGCTGCGGCAGGAGCTGGCTGGATGGCAAGGACCTCGCGTCCTGCAGATTCAGAGTGCTACACACACACCCCCAGTTTCATCCTCAGCACCTGCATTTGAAAAGCTGAGAGCAAAGCAGAAAGGTGACATTGTCACTAAGGGCCACACGGCCCATCCCAAGCAGCCCCCATCCTGTTGGCACCCACCGGGCTGGGCCTCTCACTGTGCTTGGCAGGGCTAAGCACAGTACCTGGCTGCCTGTGAGAAGTGCCAAGACTTATGCTAGCCAAGCCCTTGGATGTCATCCTTGCATACCCCTGCTGGGTGTGGCAAAGCCAAAAGGATCCAAGCCAAGTGGTCTCAAATTCTCAGTATTTCTGGGTATCTGTGTTGTCTGGTAGTGCCTTACATGCCCAGTCCAGTGCCATATGCCAGTGCTCACCCAGCCCCTGCTGTCTTCCAGGTGGTGGTGCCCACCCGTGTGGGACAGGTCTACATCTACGACTCCCCCAAGGGTGAGCAGGATGAGTACGACATTCCCCGGCATCTGCTCTCATCTGGCTCCCAGGAGATCTATGATGTGCCCCCCATCCGTGGAGGCCTCATCAGCCAGTACAGCCAAGAGGTGAGCTCTGCATAGGAAGAACTGGTCACCTTTGGGTACAGATCCAACGTGCCTCAGTTTGCCCCTTGAGGGGGCTGGTTTCTTCCTTCCCTCCTGCAGGGTTTGCCTCCCCAGGCCCTGAATCTGCCCATTAGCCCTGGGGACAGGTAACTTGCTCAGGGGCAGCTCATTACTGTGGAACGATGGTGACATGTCACCCCAGGACTTTCTCCTTTGCCCCCCAGAGCTCTGCCAGTGTCCCCAGTTTCTGCTCTGTCTCAAACCAGAAAACAGGGGACACTGAGGTGGGGGTGGATGGAAGGCGCTATGAGCATCTGGGTGCAAAAGGAGTATCCAAAATGATCACAATAATGCAGGGGCAAGTAAAGTCTGCCCTGCAGGCCAAATCCAGCCTTCAGTGGACTCCATTTCCCAGCAGCTCCTGCCCACATTGCTGTGACCAGTTTACGTGGAGACCCCAGAAGCAGCCTATGACAGCACAAGGCCAGGATTTCCCATAGAGACCAGCTCCAACAGTGCTGGCAGAGCGTGGGGCTGGGTGGGGAGCTGCTCCAGGGCCAGGGATGTGGCATGCAGTGTGGGGTGTGCAGGCGGCGGATTGCAGCTCTGCCCCAGCTTTGGACCACACTGTCACCGCTGCAAGTTCCCAGTCTGGGAACAGCTCCCCTCCCAGCCACATGCCCTGCCAGCGCTGCTGGGGCCAGTCTCCATGGAAACCCTAGCCCCCTGTTGTCGCAACCTCACCACTGCTGAGGTCTCCATAGAAACTGCCTGCAGTGACACAGGCAGGGGCTGCTAGGAAATGGAGTCTGACCACCAGCCAGACTCTCCATTTTGCCCACCCCTGCACTAATGGGTCTGAAAAGGATATTGGACCTTATCCTGTTAGAGCCCAGGAGAACAGATGCTCAGGGCAGCTTGCCCATGTCAGCTACCATGAAGTTTATGCCGCTTTCTCTGATGCCGCAGGCACTGGGTTCTGTTACAGACCAACCTGGGGCTGAGTGTGGCTCAGGTCTGCCCCAGCTGGGAGTTTCCTAGTTGCAGTGAAATATGTGGGTGGAATGGAGGATCAGAAGAGATGCCTGATCCAGCACCTTTCCTTGTCCTGCCCTAGGTGTATGACACACCTCCCATGGCGGTGAAGGGTCCCAACAGCAGAGAGCCAAGCCTGGAGATCTACGACATCCCACCCAGTGTGGAGAAGAGCCTGCCGTTCCAAACACACCAAACTGTAAGTGATGCTAAGAAGCACACCCCAGCCAGGCATCACAGCAGAGAGCAGTGGTGTGGGGGGATTCCTTTGCTGTGCTGGCTCTGGGCAGGAAAGTGGGACTATGTTCATGTTCCTTTCACAGCCCAGTGACCCAGCTGCCCTGCAGCCCAGAGGGCAGCATGGGATACTAGCCAGCCTTTTCCCATGCCAGTGCTCTCAGCCTCCCCAGCATGGCAGTGCCTTTACAGCACTTCCAGAGGTACCTTGCATGGTGGCAGGGACAGGGCAGAATTTTTATGCCAACTGTGCAATTGATTTAATATCAGAAAGCACACACACAAATCCCTGCTCCTGGAATCAGGTCACAGAGCTTCTGAGTGGGGCGGGTGCCACATTTAGAAGCTGGATAAGCACTACAAGGAAACAGTGGCTGGAGGCTTTGTGTCATTCCCTAATATGCCCTTGACAGATGGAAATATCAGCTTTGGGAGAGGGGACAGGGAGATGCACTCAGCCCACAGGGTCACAAGGAGATGGAGCTGTATGTAGAGTGAGGGACTAGTGGTGTCCACAGGGTAGGCAGCAGTAGAGCCAGCCTCAAGCCCTCTAAAAGCATGAGTCAGGCCCCCAGAATTGTGAGCTTGTGTTAGTAACCATGAGAGTTTTTTCTTCTGCTAATGAAAATCCAAGTGTGTTCCTTACTTTCTGGTGTGTGAGCCTTTGGCCTGCCCCTGACATGTCTCTCTGAGCTGCTTTCTCTAATCACTGTGGTAGAAACTTCCTCTTTCTTCTTTTTAATTAAAGCTGAGATTATTACCTGTTCACCTGTCTCCAGGAGCTGGAGCTTTCAAAGTAACATGTTTCAGGAGCCTGGTGAAGCTCCAGAGAGCTGGCCACCACTGAGCTTCAGGTTAACAGCTGTCTCTCAGGTCAATCCTGGAGCATTGTGTCTTGGGCTTGCTGTTGGCTGTGGCAGTGTGCCATGTGCACCTGCTACTCTGGGTGGCAATGTTGGTGCTAGCCTGTTTGCACCCAGACAAGAGGGATGCTTATTTCATGCCTGTTTTGTGCCTTGCCAGTCTGAACTGGCAGGGCAGCACTTAGATGCATTGGTGTGCTAGATGGGATAGTCCTGCTCCTCTTCTCCACCACAGCCTAGAGCAGCAGGGTTTATTTCTAGGATGGAGGAGATCTCAGGAATCATGACCCATCATAAAGTTTCCCTGACTTGACCCTGCAGTGCTAGCTAGTGGGCACCCATATGCCAGTGGAGCAGTGTACAGCACAGTGGGAGCCCCTCCTGACTACTTACCAGTACAGAGGACGCCTTTCACTGGCAATTTCTATAACCAGGACAGCAACAAAAGGCAGAGTGTTTGCTCTGTGACAAGCTGGCAGGGACGCTCAGCTGGCTCACTGAAGGGCCATTATGTGCCTAGAGGTGCTATATTCAGCACCTCCCACTATGCTTGAAAGGTTGGAGAGGTGAGGCATGCACATGTGTGTACAGACACACACATCGCTATGAGATCACCAATAAATTCATGATGTAGTCCCACAGTCCTGTGATTTGCTGTGGGGCTGGGGGTATTATTCTGTGGCAGGAGAAGCATCAGGAAGGGGAGCAAGCCTAAAAGATGCCATCTGTTCCCTCTGCAGGTGTATGACATTCCTCCATCTGTAAGCAAAGATGTCCCAGATGGCCCCATCAGAGAGGAGACCTACGATGTTCCCCCTGCTTTTGCCAAGCAGAAGGGCTTCGACCCAACCCGGCACCCCCTGATCCTGGCTCACGCATCATCAGCCTCACAGGAGCACTATCTGCCCGAGGACATCTATGATGTGCCCCCTCCAGCTGGGAAAGGGGCCCCTGAGGTGTCCCTCTCACAGGAAATCTATGATGTTCCGCCTAGCCTGAAGAAGCTGGGGGGACCTGTGTTCCCAGTGCAGGATGTGTACGACGTACCCCGGGAGCTGCACACTGGGAGTAAGGCCTCCATGGATGCTGAGGGCGAGTATATCTATGATGTCCCTCCCCAGGTGGACCGAGAGACCAAGGTAGGTGATGCCAAGAGGCTCTCAGCCTCCAGCACAGGCAGCACTAGAAGCAACATCTCCACATCCTCTCTCGACGTGATTCCAGTGAAGGAGTCAGCTGCTGTGCCCAAAGGCCCCAGCAAGGAGCTCAGCTTGGACTTGGATGTTGCCATGGAGATGCTGGCCAAGCTGCAGCACGGCATCAGTACCGCTGTCTCCCACCTCATGTCTTTTATCAGTGGCAGCTGGAGAAGCCCTGAGCAGATGGAGGCCAATGCACAGAGCATACAGGCGGCAGTGGAGAGCGTCAAAGTGGCACTCAGAGACTTGCTGGAGTTCGCACGTGGGGCTGTGGGCAATGCAGCCCAGGCCTCTGACCGCTCCCTCTACACCAAGCTTAGCAAACAGTTGCAGAAGATGGAGGATGTCAACCAGGCACTAGTGCGGCACAGCCAGGCACTGGACAGTTGTGGCTGGGCCCTGAGCACCCTAGTGGCCAGCAAGCCAGGTTGCACTGATGACCTGGACCGCTTTATCATGTACTCACGTGGCATCCCTGATGACACCAAGCAGCTGGCCTCCTTCCTGCATGGCAATGCCTCCCTGCTCTTCTTT